CCAACCTCCAATGCTTCTGACAATGCCCACAGTAGTGCTGGAAATACTGCAGCTACCAAAGCCAAAATCCTACGCAGCTGTTGCCTCAAGTTCACGGCTTCAGGGTCCAAGTACTTCTTCCGGTTTAGGACTTTGGGGCCTTTTGGGGCCCAGGGCATACTTGAGCGGCTTAGAGAAATTGGGGTTCAAAAGGGTTCAGGGTATCTAGTAAGTGTAAGTTCGTTTCTTTCTTGGAGTTAAACGTATCGTAATTATGGTTGTCCTAGTTAGAGAACCCAGGTTCAAGGATTTCACACTCAAGCATGCTCAGTTAGGTTGCAACTGTACATGCAGATGTGCTACTCGTAATGCCTCAGCAGAAGCTAGCATCATCACTCCAAGTGATCTGGGGATTGTCTCAGTTGCCGTTGTCAGTTTTTGGAGGCTTGCCATCCAGCACGCCAGCTGCAACGGAGGTTTGTTCGGAGCCCCTGGGCTTTGCTGGGCTTCTTGGGTTTCAGTTTGCGTGCTGACCGTGTATAATATATATATATATATATACATACATGTATATAGAAAAACATATTGTATAAATAAATTCCTGAATGATGAGAATAAGGCTTTGGCAATTTCTTGATGGCTAGACTGTAAGTGTATGGGGGAAGGGCAGGTTTGGGTTTGGGTTCAGACGATGAAGACGATGGGGCTTCAGGGTTTAGGGTTCAGGGTTTAGGGTTCAAGGTTTAGCTTTTAGGGTTTAGGGTTGTGCCCGGGTTGAGGGTTGACGTTTTGGGAGCTTCCGGAAATAAGGGGTACCTTGTTTGGGGGTTATAAAAAGCATCCTACTATTCAGGGTACTATAACTATATTTGGGTCCCCTATTTTCGGAAACTCCCATTTAGGCCGGAGTCAGGGAAAAGATACCCTAAACCCTAAACCTAGGCTGCTGTTCTGCTCTTGTTGTTTTGTTCGTTTACACAGACGGCCTCAACCTTCAACTAGAAAGCCCAAGCCCTAGTTTGGAGTTTAGGGCAAAGTAAACCTTGAAGACATGAACAAACCTAAACCGCAAGCCACCAAAACCCTTTAAGCACCCAAAAGCCATAAGCATACTGTATACTATGCTATTAGTATGTATAGGTATATAAAAAAGATACAACAACACGATAATCTGCACAGAAATAGGAGTTTTCACTTTTTTCATGGCTGAGGAACCTCACCTTCCCAGACCGTGACTGCGACGGCATCCCGGTGCCTCCTCTGAGCCCGGCTGTGGTGGTTATCTGGGTTTAGGGTTTAGGGTTTAGGAGTTTAGGAGTTTAGGGTTTAGGGTTTAGGATTTAGGGGTTTAGGGTTTAGGGTTTACGAGAGGGTTTCGTACACATTCCTTGAAGGTTACTATGAGGACTATGAGGCTAATTAGAGGGTTTCGTACACATTCCTTGAAGGTTACTATGAGGCTTACTAGAGGGTGTAGTACAAATTCCTTTAAGGCTACGACAAGGGTTGCTAAAAGGGTTTAGTGCCTGTCCCAAACTCTGGTGCCGAGTTATTTGGTCCTTTGGGCCCTTAGGTCACTGTGCGTTGGGGTTGCCTCCTAGCCCGGGGTGGGGCGGCCAGGGATTTAGAGATGTCTGTGGGTGCATACAGGGATTTAGGGATGTCGGCGTTTTAGTAGGAGTGTCGGGGTTTAGGGGGTATCGGGGTGCGGGGATTCCGGGTTTGTAGTGTTCTCCAACTAGTAAGGCCCCCTATATAAAACCTAAACCCTCCCAAACCCTGAACCGTCTCTAAACCCTAAACCCCAGGCCCTAACCCCTAAACCTTAGTGCTTTAAAGGAACGCCTAACCATCTCAGCTCTGGGCTTTGGGATTCAGGCTTCGTGTGCGCCGCGAAGAGCCCTTCGAAGCAACGTCCTTACAGTCATTATAGTCACTTATAGTCCCTTGTGATATGTAACTATAAGCCATCATTGTGGTGTAGTATGGTCCTTCCAGAGCTAAAGTATAAGCACGGTATAATGTAACCCCCCAAAGCCATTTCCGAATGGAGTTATTCGAGAGGATATCTACTGCAAGAACTTGGGTTCGGTCCTTGTCGTTGTTTAGGGTTTAGGGTGTAGGATTTGGGGTTTAGGATTTGGGGTTGCGGGTTTAGGCTGGCCGCGGATACACCGCTTAGCGGCAGAGGCAGAGATTCAGAGCTGTGACGCCCTCAAACGCCCTGACCCTCCGAAAAACAGTGTCCTAAGAGTTAGAAGAAGCTGTTGGGCGTGCACGATGCAATAAAACATGGAAGCCTTGAAACTCAATTCGATTACTAATGGTTCGCAGCCCTAGAAGAAAGCCCTTAAACCCTTCTAATAACTCTAAGAAGAACCCTAAACCCTAAACCCTAAAACCCTAAACCTTAAAACCCTAAACCCCTAAACCCTAAACCCTAAGTCATGCCTCCGAGGACTGCGTGGATGCCTGCCCAGATGACCCGAACCCCACGTGCGCCTGCCTGGGTTGGCTTCCGGTGGAAGAAGTGTATACCTTTAGAACCCAAAACCCACTTTTTTGTAGGTTCTTATTATAAACCCTAATATGGGATTTATAGGTTCCTACAAAATAGTAGGTTTTGGGTTCTTAAGATAGAGCTTCATAAGGGTTCCAAAAGAGTTCTGAGGGGCCTTATAGGGTTTAGGGTTTAGGGTTTATAGGGTTTATGTGAGGATTCCACTGGTGAGGGTTCCCAGCTTTTTGGGTTTATGGCGTAAGGCTTCGGGAATATAGGTTGCTGGTTACATGATTGACTACAAAACAAGTCATGTGCTGTCTTCCTACGGGGCGTATGCCAGATCTCTGAGGGTTTCCGTGTTCGCGTTGACAACACTGTGCTTGAATGGCTGCTTTACGTACGGACAGCATGAAACGGAACGCGAAGGAACTAGTAATTAACTAGTAAGTCCTTTCAAGTGCTCGCAAAACTATACTTTAGTGTGCCCTAATAATGTATTTCAGCCCCTGTGTTATCTCTACATTGAAAGAACCGTCTAGCACTGAAGGTTATCGGCTTGAGCAGCTTGGGTGGTCTTGGGGTGTATAATAGTATATATGCATATATATATATATATATATAGGTAGTTACGCAGGCACGATACGCAGAGAGTAAAGTGGTTCCTAATCGTTCCAACCCATATACTGCATGCATCTTGAAGTGTTTCATGCCTCACGCCCCTATTCTAGTTACGAATTACTTGTTGCTGGGTGGTGGCAACCCGTAGCGCAGGTACAGCTCTGAGATTGCAACTACCTTCGTCACATTCTGTATAGCCTTGAAGAAACACCGATGGAAAACCACCGTTTAGGGCTTCAAGGGCCCTCCAGCTGAAGGATCAGTTCAATGTGCGCAGCAGCCCTTGCTCAAAGAAAAGGGTTTAGAGCCCTCCCCTTCCCCCCACTTGCTTCAAGATACCCTGACCCTCCAGGTACCTACTAAACCGGGCCTTAGGGGCTCTAGTACCCTAAAAAGTAGGTGTCTGGGGATTAGGGATAATTTGGAGCCGAATACAGTATTAAGGCCCTTCAGCTGGAGATGACCGTGCCAGGTGCACGAGCACCACGACTTCCACAGTCTCCACACGTCCGGGCCTCGGCATGAAAAAAAATGAAGAAAGGACAGTATTAACTTCCACTGCTGAGCTCGCATTTTGCCCAGTGGTCAGAGGACGGCGAAGAATTTCAAGCAGGTGTGTTCTTCCGCATGCTCAGCATCCCACTATCTTAAAGGGTGCCAAAGAGAATTGGATTCAGTATTCGTAGTGGGTGGCTCAGGGACGGTGATTTCTCTTGCCGACAAGAAGCCATTCGATTGATGTTAGGTGGTTCTCAAAATCTACGAAGACGTAGTCGCTTGAACGTTTACATGGCAGGCTGAAGGGCAGAACGGCAAAGCACCCAAATACAACAGCAACTTAAAGCAGTGTTTTGGGCATGCTCGCGACAGGAATGGACACTTGCGACGGCGCACCTTCTTAGAAACATGAAGCATCTTCGGGGAAGTGTCCAATAGTCGCAGGTAGTAATTGTGGGCGACAGCCTGCTGCCCTAACCCAGCTCAGGGGTTCATGACAGCAAGCCTACTACGACGACGACGACGACGACGACGACTACTACTACTACTACTACTACGACTTTCTCCGGCCGCTGTTGCTGCTACGACTACTGCTGTTGAGTGCTACTTTGGTCAGGGACAAGCTCCAGCGTTTCATCAAGCACCACATTGACAACCCAAACAAGGCCTTGCAGCTCTGGCTTTTCCTTTGCATTCCGGGTGGAAGGAACGGAAGCTCAGATTTCGAACCTCGCGGGTTGGACTTTGTCGGCTTTGGATTTTTGGATACAGATGTTCGGGTTCCCGGCTTTGGAGATGCATTCAAGCTTGCAGGGGGCTGTCCAGCTGCATGAAGCCCCAGCCCTGCAAACTGCAGCTTGTGCCTGAACTCAGATGGAAGCGCAGGGGTTTCCTGTGCTTGTGCCATCGAGAGGAGTACTTCGGCGACCATCACATCTACAGGAACCACCCTGACCTCCTCGGCCACACGCCTGGCACTTGAGTCCTTTCCAGCCGGAAATTGCAGGTTTGAGAAGGCACAGATGAAACCCCCTGTGTTTACTCGGAACCCTGGAGTTCTAAATATTCTAAACCGTCTAAACCTCTACGTAACCGGAACATTTCCTATATAAACCTTGAATTGAACCCAAATACCCGAAAAGAACTCAAACTCATGCAAGACGGAAGAGATGGTCCGCTCAGGAAACCTCGTCGTCGAGCCGGACGCAGTCCACGACCTCATCTACCATCTCCACATCTTCGGACACCAGCGACTCTCCAGCAAGGTTTCTATCAGACATTGCAAAGAGGTCTGAATATCTAGCACCCCTTTGGGTTCTAGCTGGGGCTACCGTAATTGAAAGTCGCGATGTTTAGACTTGTGTTGGAAGCCCGATCACGTCCAGACTGTCCTGCGACTCAGGCACCGCCCCGACAACAACTTCCACGTGGACTGAGAGCACACGCATCACCAGGAGCAGCACGCAGACCATCACCGGGAGCAGCACGCAGACCGTCACCATCACCAGGAGCAGCACGCAGACCGTCACCATCACCAGGAGCAGCACGGAGACCGTCACCATCACCAGGAGCAGCACGACCAGAAGCACGACTGCGACATCTACCACGACGAAAAGCACAAGGCGCGGCGTCTCCAAGACACTGTTTGGCTCCTCTACATTCCATGTCTTGGGCCGGGCTGTAAGTTTTTCTCGGACTGTCCGCAGAAACTTGGTGCATCTTCTTTGGTCATCTTAGGGGCAACCCAAACCGGGCCTTGCAAGTTCGTTTAAGTGCAGGACCACAACTTGGACGCAGACCTGGACGTCGTCTACCACACGGACCCAGACAACGACAACCAGCACCACGTGCACTAGCTCCACGTGCCTTATCCTGACACCACGGAAGCATCAGTCGAAATGCACGCATGTCACAACTCTTTGTCCTTTCTAATTGTCAGTTGCGTAGGAGGCTGGTCTGCCTCATCAAGCGTTACCATACCACCACGGCAGCAGTTTATGGATGGACAAACAAGAGTCTCCCATGCAGATTGAACAAGAGCAGCCAGAAAGCTGAGGTCTTCGACAACAACCCGGACGTTCTCAAAAACAACTTCGACGACCACTAGCACTGGCACCCGCAGCACGACTGCGACCACGAGTGGTACCTCCACAGAGACAGGAGCTGTGACTTCCACTTCAAGCAGCTCAAGCCGCTCAAGCGCCTGGTCTGCTTTTGCTTTCATGGGCATTGCCGACACTGCGTTCTTCAGCCGTGAGTCTGCATCTATCCTCGAGAGTCGGAAAGCGCTGTCTGTCCATACGAGTACGTCTCCTAGACCCGAGACACCGAGAGAGCCAGAGATAGAGTGAGCTGTTTATGCTTTAAAGGGGCGGTGTTCATGGAGGCTCACTCGGGGCAACGCCGTTGCTACCGCTTGGAAGGGGCCAGACAGCGAGACTGATGCGCGGCATGGGGGTGGGCCTTCGGGCCAGGGCGGTCCGAGGTCCTCACACCTGCAGCAAGCAAGCAAGCAAGCTAGCAAGAGAGGGGGGGGGTTGAGAAGGAGACGGGGAGAATGAGAAGGAAATTAAGGAAAGGGGGAATGAGCAGGAGCAGGAGGAGGAGGAGTTGGAAACGGAGAAGGAACTTAGCAGGACAGGAGCAAGAGCAGAAAGATAAAATGGAGAAGGAAACAGAGATATAAGCCGCAGCTTTCTATTGTACAGTTTCGAACACTTAGTAATTAAAAGCACGCCCTCTTCGGCCTACCTATGTAACACCACTATAATAAAATGTTCCTCCAGAACCCTATTTACCTATTCTAATGGAAGTGCACACAGGTACAGTCATCGTAGGTGCATGAGCACTCATGTAGACGGCTTGTTCTAATTAAAACAGACTTATGACTGAAAAATATACCCGCCCTTCCATGTGTCTACACAGAATTCACTGTGCATGTGCGCATCGTCACATGTTTTCACTGCAGTCTAGAGTCTCCTTGACCACGATCCGGGATTCTCCGGCTATTCTCAATCCTTGCTGTTACCGGCTTCGCTGATCATACGGTACCGAGAGCCTGAATTGCAGTAGTTACTTGCTCTTGGGCACAGAAGAACGTAAGATAGCACGAACGAATAAGCCTTTGACCGCCGGGGGGATGGGTCTGCAAATTAAGCAAACTAGCACCCAGACAACAAACCGCGGTGCTCGTCGCCACACCTGAAGCCCTGGGTGAGCCCTGAACCCAAAGAAGCTCTACACCCTACATCCTGAAACCATGAAGCTCTATTCTACAGGATATTTCGTGGGTCTCATAGGTAATGTAGCAAGGCCCCCAAAACCCTAAGCCCTGAGACTTTGAACCCCGAAGCACTCCATAGGTCCAAAACCCTTACGACACGCAACTTAGTAAAGTGCTGCGTTTAGTAAAGCTATAGTATCTTCTTCACGGAAGAGCACAACACCCTGCTTACGAAAAGTACTACATTACTACAAACCCCTTGAGGTGAGGCCAATGGAAAACCTTGTTAACGATAACAACAGCAGGAAAACACTGAACTGACGATGATCCAAATGAGAGCCAGCCATCAACCACATTATTCTGTATACTTGTACGGTCATCTCCATAAGTACCTTCACAGATGCACACATACACACATACACATTTTCATCCATCCATCCATACATCCATGCATACATACATACATGTTAATTTCATCTCATTACACTACGCTACAGTACATTACATTACATTAATTACATTACACTACATTACATTACAATACATTACATTACATTACATTACATTACATTACATTACATTACATTACATTACATTACATCACATTGCATTACCTACATACATGCATACATACATGCCTGCATACGCATGCCCACACATTCAAATCTCCATAGACGTACACATAGACATGCACAAACATATACGAATGGACATGCACAGAGACATATACATATACATATGCAATCTACTTTATTACACATACGTAAAGAAACATGTACAGAATGTATTCGTATACCTACCTTCCTACCTGCTTACATAAATACGCATACGTCGCATACGTACACATGTATACATACACATGTATACATATATATGCATTTGCATATACATATACACACATATAATGTAGGTTCGACTTGTATGATGTATACCCGAAAGTTGCCAAGGCACTCCGCGCGAAGAGTCGGCCGATGCCACAACGACAAGCTCGACTTTCAGCTCCAATTTGCGGGTTCTTGGGTTTGAGGTGTACGGTGTAGGGTTGAAGATTGCGGGTAGTATACCCTAAACCCTAAACCCTAAGCCCAATAGCCCAATAGTATTTAGGGTCCTTGTTGGGATTCTGTTGGTTGGTTGGAGCTCCCAGCCAAGCATTGCGATGTTCAGGAAGCGAGCGTTTGGGGCTTCGAGGCTTCAGTGCATCTGTTTTGGGGCTTGGGGGCTTTGGGAATTTTAATTTGGCTTGGGGGTTCTGAGATGACGGCGATTAGATTTTGAGTTTAAGTTAGGGTTTAGGGTTAGTTAAGGGGACGACTAATAATAGATTCTGATTTTAAGTCAGGGTTTAGGGTTGAGGGTTAGGGCCGTTCGGATTCGAATGGTTCAGAGAGGTTGCTAGCTCCGGATGTAGGGAAGTTTCAGCACCCTTTACACAAGAGGTAGACCAGCAGGTAGCCTTAGACCTTATCAAACCCTATAAAATAACAATTTGGGGTATACCAATCCCGTCGCACATTGTAGCACCCCTCTTCAAACCCGACGCCGAAATCCCTAAATCATAAACCTCTAAACCCTGAATCCTAAAGCCTTAAACCCCTAAACCCTTCACTTCTAAACCCTAAACCTCTCAACCCAGAAACCCCTAAACCCCCAAACTTCTAAACCCTAAACCTCTGAACCCAGAAACCCCTAGACCCCTAAACCCCTAAACCTCCCAAACTCGAACTGCACAGGACCGGGAGTTTCAGTTTACCTGCCGGCATTACGACGCCCCTCGGAGCTGCGGGGCTCTTCACTCATAAACGGGTTTAAATATAGGGCCTAGGTAATTACCTATCCTATTTTGGGGGTTCCTTATTATAACTATAGTATAGTGGGCCCCAAAACACTATTCTAATTGTTAAGGCCCCTACATTAGGATAGTTCGTGGTTTGGGGTTCTGGGTTTAGGCTTTCAGGCGTAGGGTTTCGTTGGTTGGGGTTTATGGGGAATTTGGGTATCCTGTTTGAAAGCTATTGGGCCTAGCATCGGGGGGTATCGTATCTCATGGGTGGTTTTTAGGGGCTTCTTCAGGAAATGTCTCATTTGCAAAGAGGTGTCCTTGTCATGAGAATCTTGGAGTTCCATTTTCTGATTTTCCCATATCGGCTGCCGGGCGGGCTGATGCAAACGCTAGCAGAGGAAGCGGGACAGGAGAGCCGCAGGAAGGGTAAGGTTTGGGCTTGAACATGTTCCCACTGCTGCAATCGCAAAGTCCCGGTTTCACTCTCGTTTCAAGCCATGCAAGACCGTGCGGAACACACCCCAAAATGCCATACAATCCCTTGTGCACTGCCTATAAATATGACCTCCTAAACTAAAGCCCTTACGAAACCCTAAACCCCCTACAAAAGCCCCCTTTAGAAGCCCGAAGCCCTAGAACTTGCTATAAGAAAGAGCTTTCTGGTACTTTAGGGGCCTAAATCATTGCCAATACGATTATTTTGGGGGGTTCTGGTAACTGTAGCCCAAAACGAACCTTTTCCAATTATTATAAGGCCTCCTAAACCCTGAAACCCGATTATAAATCCCCGTATAAAACCCTTTGGCGAACCCTCAAAGAAACCCTATTCCATTAAGGCCCCCTTATAAAAAAAAAAACAGTTTACGAACTCTCAAAGGAGCCCTGCTCTATTAAGACCCCCTTATAAAACACCAGTTTAAGAACCCTCAAAGGAGCCCTATTCTACTAAGGCCCCCTTATACAAAAAACAGTTTTAAGAACCCTCAAAGGGTGCCCTATTCTATTAAGGCCCCGTTATATAAAACCAGCCCTTATAAAAACCCTCTAACGAACCCTCAAAGAAACCCTATTCCGCTAGGGCCCCCTTATTAAATACGAACCCTCAAAGGAGCCCTATTCCTTTAAGGCCCCAAGATTTCACTTCCGCGATTCCCAGGTCGACTTTGGACAACCCTTTCGCAGGCGACCCTTTCGGCACGCAAGAGGCGGCGCGGAGCTGGGGGGGGGGGGGGGGGG